CAGTTGAAATTACAAAAGCAATTTTGTACTGATATACACCGTCTATCCTCCACATTTTTTATATATCTCTCTCTCAGTCACTTATGCCGACCCACTGTTCCCCCCAAGAGAGCAGCTAGCCAGGCGCTCAGTGACAGATGGCACAGCCTCCTCTACCCCCCTTCATACACACACCGGCCTATCGCCTGCTCCCCTGTACTGCGGCAGATCACTGACATTCTGTCTCATTAGAGCCCTGCTAATTACCACAGCCTCTTCCAGGAGTGAGCGAGAGACATACAGACAAAGAGAGAGAGAGAGAGAGAGAGAGAGAGAGAGAGAGAGAGCGAGAGAGAGAGAGAGAGCGAGAGAGAGAGAGAGAGCGAGAGAGAGAGAGAGAGCGAGAGAGAGAGAGAGAGCGAGAGAGAGAGAGAGAGCGAGAGAGAGAGAGAGAGCGAGAGAGAGAGAGAGAGAGAGAGAGGTCACTCTAAGGGAATGGCTCTGGGTTCTAAAGGGCTTGTCATCTGACAACAGGGGTCGTGATTGTATTCACCATCAGAGGGTGTCAGCACAACTCCCATAATGCCCTTCTTCTCTCTATTCTCCCAGCCCCAGCAGAGCTCTGTGAATGCCACTTCAGCACTGTCATGTCTGTATTAGTGGTGTTTGCTCAGTCATACGTCACTTTCACTACTGCTCATATTCAAAATTAGGGACTTTAAAAAACCTCTAAATCTACTCAACATGAAATCAAAATGATCCTATTTACGTAATATTACGTGTTCCTGGTCTTAGTGTGAATGATTCATCAGTGCATCATGTTATTCCAAATTATTTTTTAAATATTTGTGTATATATACATATATACATACACACACATATATAAACTTAAATTCCAAAACTATAAATGTTTCCCATTTCATCATTTTTTTTTTTTTACTTCTCCCTCCATATCCCTGGCTCTATTCTGAAATGCCCACAATTAAATACATTATTACATTTTTTATAATAATTATATCTAATTATTTTAATATATTTTTGGAATTAATAAAGAGCGATTAAATCAACATTTTAATTGGTATACACTACCATTCAAACGTTTGGAGTCAGTAAGATTTTTTTAATATAATTATTATTAGTTTTATTCAGCAATGACACAAATTGATAA